GAGCAAAGCTAGTGAGATGTGTATATGTATCTATATCTGTCTGTCTGTCATCAATCTATCATCAATCTGCATCTATCTGAGAGAGACTGATTTTTATTTCAAGGAAATGGCTCACGCAATTGTGGTCATCATACAGTCAGCAGTCGGCTGAAGACCTCTGCTGGCTCGTGGGATTGTGGGTACTGGTGAATCCGAAATCTGCAGATCAGGTGGTAGACCAGAGACTTCTGCAGGCTTACATCCCAGGAACCAGAGGTCAGGGGACAAGAAGAGTGCAGGGTCTCAGGGTTGAGTGAGAGAGCGAGCTTTGCCAGAACATCCATTTATATACTGGAGGCAGACCACCCGTGAAGAAAACTCCCCTTTCAACTGATTGGCTCATCACATCAGATCAGATTATGGAAGGTGATTACATTATATTACATTATGGAAGAGCAAACAGTCTAGTATTTGCCAAACCACTGAGAGTGATAGCCTAGCCAAGTTGACACATATCATTAACCATCATAGTAGGTCTGTATGATCCTTTGTGAGAACTAAATACCACACTTTTATCTTCTATCTAGAGGATGGAGATGTGGGCTGTGACAAAGAGAGCTAAAGTGGGGGCCAAGGCCAAAGGCAGAGCCAGAGTTAGTTCAGGTGAGTCACTGCCCAAGAAAGCTGGGTTTAGGGGAACCCAGCCAGCTCTACAGAGAATGCTAAGGAGGAACGCATCTCAGAGCACAGGGGAAGCCATGTTGAGGTCCTTTCACTTAGAGTGTGATGCAAACCAGAAGTCTTGCTCTTCCCAGCTACTAAAGGCTTTAGTCTTTAAAGGGCCACTACTTTCATTTTGGGTGGTAAATTTCTTGAGGCTGGGGTAGTTCTAGAGTACTGGGGCCACGAGCTTTGACTTTAATAGGAGAAATAGGATTACTAAGTGTTGATAGGCTTCGAGGCTCTTCAATTACCTGTATTCTTTGGAATGGATGTCTCCCAAAGTCTCTCCCAGTAACTGTCTCCTAGAGGTAAAAAAGGTATGACCAAACGCATGGAGGTCTTCTGTTCAGGATTCTAGGATTTGTCAAGAGAACTACAGGAAATAAGGTAGAAAGATGAGGCAGAGCAGATTAGCAAGACAGCACCTGCCTGCCGTAGCCTTTCCAAGCAAGAAGTCATGGAAGACTGGGAACTTACAAGCCCAGCTCAACTCAATCCATGAGACAGTAAAAATCAAGACTGTCAGTATCTTGGGTGCCTTATCCTCTTCCTTGTTGGGGTCTGGGATTAGCCTACGAGCGAGGGTTTGGAGATAATATGGCAAGCCAGGAAGCTGTTGTATAAGTTCTTAGAAAAGGGGAATGTACTGATATTAAGATTAATATGTTTACCAGGTAGAGTCTCACCACTCCCACTTCTAACTGCAGGGCATATTTTTAGGTGTTTTTCATAGTAGGTACGAGGGAGATAGAGTTGTACTTCTCTCTCCACATGTACCTACTCAGCGGCGAGTCCCTCTCCACCCCAACTACCACTGAGCACCCATTTCTTATGCCCAGTGGTCAGACATCTGCAGGATGCCAGCATGGGTGCAATAACAGGGGTAATCTGCCTGTGGGACAGAGGAACTATTTGTCTGTTCAGAAATTGAACTTATACCTCTGGCCTTCTGGCACTGAGTAATAGCTGAAAGAGCTCATTGATCTACACTCCTTCGTAAATATTGAGCAATGTTCTTTGGAGCAAGACTCCTTCCTAGAAAGGGTGTTTCTTCAGTTACTAAAGTACTGGTGGATATTTCTGTGGGACTGCTTTGAAGGTTTGGTTAAATAGGAGGAATTGTTCACTGAGAAATGCCCTCATTATGATAAAGGGCGCAACAGAACAGACTTGAGAGGTCTGACACCAGAAAGTTCTAGGTTCAAATCCCACCTCTCTTGTGTAAAGTAAGCCTGGTCATAATTACCTTGCACTGTGGTTTTTAATGATTAGAAATAAGATACAGTGAAACCCGTGAGAGCCAGAAATTTATGGGACTGTCTTGTTTTTCTGGGCTTCACAAATTTTCCACCTTTGACAGCGTGCGGTCTTACCACTTTTCTATTGCTCATTTTAGTGGAAAATATTCAGTTTTTCCTTCTCTGACAGGTTTCTGCCTTACACAGATTCCAGGTTTCACAGAATTTTACTGTACATAAAGCACCTGCCACATGGACACTCAGTTAATACCATCTTCAACATTTTCTCCCCCACTTACCTGCCAGTTGGTCATACTATGATGGCTTATGTTTTGCTACGATCCTGGAAGCTATGCCACTGGTATTTCAAATACCAGCGGGATCATCCATAGTGGATAAGTTTCAGCTGAGCTTCCAGATTAAGACAGACTAGGAATAAAAGCCTGTTGATCTACTTTCAAAACTTAGCCAATGAAACTCTGTGGATCATAACAGAATATTGTCCTATATAGTGCTGGAAGATGAACCCCCTAGATTAGAAAACACTCTGAATACTGAGTGGCCACAACAATGGACTCAGACATACCAATGATCGTGAAGATTGTGCAGGACTTGGCAATATTTTGTTATACGTGGGGTCACCGTGAGTTGGAGTTGACTTGATGACAACCAGCAACAACAGCAACATTTTATATAGGTTCATTTTCTTTAGTTAGGGGTTTGCTATGCTGAGTTGATCCTGTGAGATGCTTTTAAATATACAGAGTAGCTACAGATGAACGCTCACCTCCTCAAGCCACATTCTCTGCAAGCAATGACCACATGAAGCCAGCCATACCTGGGCAGGCCTTGTGCAGACTCAAACTCATATAGTCACTGACAAGAAGCCATCTTTTTATTGTTTCTTTGCTGAGTAGATGATGCTGAATGCTTCCTTCCACTGGGAAATCAATTTCTCTGTACAGCAAGTCTCAGTAAGTGGGGTCATACTATTGCATTTCTAAAAGAGATATGACTTTCTTTTTGTTAATCATGGAACTGACTGGTAGAATTTGTAAAAAGATGTAAAAAGAAAATAACCTATTCACTCTCCTTCTGCCAACTGTAGCTAGGCAGTACCTAAAACCAAACCTATAGTTATCAAGTCAGTTCTGACACGTAGCTCCCTGGGGGTTAGACTAGAACTGACCATAGGGTTTTCAAGGCTGTAAATCTTTATGGAAGCAGACTGCCACATCCTTCTCCCATGGAGTGGCTGGTGGGTTCAAACCACCGACCTTTCAGTTAGCAGCCAAGCACTTAACCACTGCGCCACCAGGGCTCCTTAGTAGGCAGTAGGTATTAGTACCTACTGCCTTCTAGACATTAAGAGCAAAAAAGGAATTTTATCTTCCAGGCTGGAAACGTACCCATTTCTGGTTTGAAACAAGCAGCCTCATGTCCTTGGAGATCTGCCATATATGAATTTCTGGAATAAAAACAGTTCTCAGAGATTTTTGTTGGCTGTCGTTTCAAAGCCAAAGTAACAAAGGCATAGTGCCAGGAGACGCCTAAAATAGTAAACCCAGAGGTGTGATGGAGAACATTAACTTTGGTGCAGACAGATGTGTTTGCATCCCATCTTCCCCTTCCAGCTGTGTATCTTGGGCAAATTAACTTGCCATCCTCAATCTTCTCATCCATAAAATGGGACTATCTAGGGTGACCATATAATTTATCATCCAAATTGAAACACATTCAGAGTGAAGGGTGAATAATTTTCAAATAAATAATTTAAAAATATTTACAATTATATCATCTTTTGAAATTTTGTTGACATTAATTTTTTTTTCCAGTTTGCCTATAATATTGTTCTGGTCAAAAACTATTTTCAAAATAAAATTTCTTCTAAAAAATTAAAATAATATATAAACAGGAAAAATGCTAAACTGGCTGGGATGCTGGGATAGCAGGTAAAAAGCATATGATGCTTCAAAGAATCAAATAGAACATCTGTGTGAAGAGTTTAGTGCTGTGCCTGGAACACACTGGGCACTCAGGAAATGATTTCCTTTTCCTTCCTGGAGGAGTTGGACAAAGAAGCACTGACCAACAATAAAAAAAAAAACAGTTGCCATTGAGTTGATCCTCACTCACAGTGACTCTGTGTGCCTCGGAGTAGAACTGTACTCCACAGGGTTTTCAACTGCTGAATTTTTGGAATTAGATTGCCAGGCCTTTCTTCTGAGGCACCTTTGGGTGGATTCTAACTGCCAACCTTTTAGTTAGTAGCTGAGTGCTTACCCATTATAGTGCCACCCAGGGACTCCTAGCAATAAAAACCTATGTTTTAAGTGCCTGTTGCAAGAAGAGTATGTTCCTAGCCCTTAAGGTCCTGACAACCAAGGTGTGAGTTTTGTCCAACTCTATTGGGAAAATACTGATTGAAGGACATGGCCCTGCCTATGCGTATTTGGGCAGCCATCTCAGAGTGGAGAATATACTGACGGAAGGCTGTGCATTTTGGTGGTAACTTGGCAGCCCTGTGAGCACCGAGCTCTTCTCTTAGCTTGTGAATTTGCTGCTGCTTCTGGGCAGCTTGCCTAAAAGCTGGGGGAACCAGCCTCACCACTTCTGCATCTAGCTACTGTAGTTTAGGGGTGTGCTTTCAGCAAATGTGCTTAAATAATGGGTTTTATGTAAACTTAATGGTTTAAACTGTAAAGTACGTACCGTGTTGAAGTTTGGCGTCCCCACGCAGCCAGAAGGTTACATGACGTTTTGTGATTAGGCTTCCAGGATGCATCCCTTTCAGAAGCTCTGAATTCATTGCTCCACCTGTTGCTGCTTGTAAGTGCTGTTTTGCTCTAGTACTGAGAGCTCTTTGCCGTGTGTGTTCACTGCGCCTAAAGCCCTACAGAGCTGAGGCTTGTGTTTTCGGCATCTCCTGGTGTGATGAAGAATTTAAAGAACTCAAGGTTGTGAATGGCAATGCGTTCCAGGAGAAACAAGCCCGGGGAGCAGGCAGTGTTGTGGAGGTAGCCCTCTTCATGCCCCCCTAACAGCCTCTTCCTTCTCCAGGTATGTGTACATTCCAGTGGGCGGGTCCCAGCATGGCCTGCTTGGGACACTGTTTTCCACCGCGATGACGTTTGCATTTGTGAGCTACTGGCATGGCGGGTACGACTATCTCTGGTGCTGGGCTGCACTCAACTGGCTGGGAGTCATTGTGGAGAATGGAGTTCAGAGGCTGGTGGAGACCCCGTGCGTCCAGGATGGCTTGGTGAGCAGGGTCCTTGCTGCATGGTGGGGGATAGCTGAGCTGAGGGGTAGGTTTGGGAGGGGCCATCAGATTCACCCTGGCACAGGCCATGTCTGCTAGACTGATACATGAGCCCATGTTCACAGAGTTAGGAAACTAGAAAAGAGACTTCTGTATTCATTTACTGTTTTTTAAATAAATATTTTTATGATTAAAGCAAGGCATATTTATTATGTTAAAATTAGGAAATTCTGACAAGAAAAAGAAAAATATCTCCTGTCGTAGACTGGGTTCTCTAGAGAAGCAAAGGCAGTGAAGCATCTATATACATACACAGAGAGAGATTTATATCAAGAAAATGGCTCATGCGATTGTAGAGGCTGGAAAGTCCCAAGTCTGTGGGTCAGGCTGGAGGCTTCTCCTGACATGTAGCTGCAGGGGCTGGAGAACACAAGATTGGCAGGTCAGGTAGCAGGCCTCTGGCTCACAGGCTGCAAAGGCCAACAGATACCAAGATCAGCAAGTAAGGTGGCAGGCCCCTGGCTTATAGGCTGCAGAGGCTGACAAATCCCAAGATTAGCAGGTAGCTGTAAGCTCAGGTCCCAAGAATCAGAGGTCAGATGACCAGGAGCCAGTTGCAGGATCCAGAGCAAGCAAAACCCCAGGAGCCTTGACAGAAAGTCCACCTATATTGGATGCAGGCCACACCCCCAAGGAAACTCCCTTTCAACTGATTGGCTACTCACAGCAGATCCCATTATGGAGATGGTCACATTATATCAGATATCATCATGGAGGTGATTACATCATTCTATGACTGCCAAACTATGTCATAACTGCCAAACCAGTGAGAATCATGGCCCAGCCAAGTTGACACACAGCCTTAACAATCACGACTCCTCAACAGAAATAACTGTTAACACCCATTCTTCTGAACTTTTTCTATCCATGTATACATGTATGTAAGGCGCCCTTGTGGTTCAGTGGTTAAAGCACTTGGCTCCTAACCAAAAGGTCAGTGGTTTGAGCCCACCAGCTTCTCTGTGGGCGACAGATGTGGCAGTCTGCTCTTGTAAAGATTACAGCCTTGGAAACCCTATGGGGCAGTTCTACTCTGCCCTACAGGGTCTCTATGAGTTGGAATCGACTCAATGGCAATGGGTTTGGGCTTTTTTTTATACCTATACGTATATATGTATGGATATGTATGTGTGTATGTATGTGTATTCATTCACACAAATGTTATTATTCCAGAGATGGTTGTATTGGGATCACCTTTCCATGTTACTGAACTCATTTCTAGCAACTCTTTTTGATGGCTACAGAGAATTCTATTACGTGGATATGCCATAATCTATTTATTTATGATTTTAAATTTTTTATTGTACTTTAGATGAAGGTTTACAGAACAAATAGTTTCTCATTAAACAGTTAGTACACGTATTGTTTTATGACAATGGTTAACAACCCCACGACATGTCAACACTGTCCCTTCTCAACCTTGGGTTCCCTATTACCAGCTTTCCTGTCGCCTCCTGCCTTCTAGTCCTTGTTTCTGAACTGTTGTGTCCCATTAGTCGCCATAATTTATTTAATTTATTAGTTACCATCAAGTTTGCTCCAACTCGTGACAACCTTATGTATAAGGCCATTTTCATGATCATTGTTATGCTTCAGTCCATATTTCCGCTATTGTAGCAATTCCTCTCCTTGAGAGCTTCCCTCTTGCTTGCTGACCTTCTGCCAACTGTCCTTTTCTAGCAGTTGTATTTTCTCTACAACATGCCCAAAGTAAGTGAGCCAAAGTCTTGCCACCCTCACTTCTAAAGAGCATTCTGGCTGTATTTCTTCTAAGACTGATTTGTTTTCTGGAAGTCCACAGTATATTCAATATTCTTCACCAGCACCACAGTTTGAATTCATCAATTATTCTACTTCTTTTTTCCTTGTCTAACTTTTACTTGCATATGAGGCAGTTGAAAAGACCATGGCTTGGGTCAGACTCACCTTAGTCATCAGAGTGACATCTTTGCTTTTTAAAACATTAAAGAGATCTTTTACAGCCTATTTGCCAAATACAATACGTCGTTTGATTTCTTGACTGCTGCTTCCATGGACATTGACTGTTGATCCAAGTAGAATGAAATCATTGACAACTTCAATTTCTTCATTTCCCACGATGTTGTTTATTGGTCCAGTTGTGAGGGTTTTTGTTTTCTTCACTTTCAGGTGCAATCCATACTGAAGGTTGTAGTCTTTGGCCTTCATCAGTAAGTGTTTCAAGTTGTCTTAATTTTCAGCAAACAAGGTTGTGTCATTTGCATCTCACAGGTTGTTAATGTGTCTTCCTCCAATCCTGATGCCGTATTCTTCTTCATATAGTCTTATATAGTCCAACTTGTTGGATTACTTGTTACTTGTTCAGCATAGACTACTCATCTTTCAGTTTGTTGTACTTCCGTGTTGCTCTGATACTGGAAGCTATGTCACCAGTATTTATAACACCAGCAGGTTTCAGCAGAGCTTCTGGACTAGGAAGAAAAATCTGGTGATCTACTTAGAAAATTAGCCAATGAGAGCCTATGAATAGCAAGAGAACATTATTTTATTAGTCTTCTATTATTAACAATCATATTAGCCCCTATTTTTTGCAACTATCAATAGTATTGAGATGACTACTGTAATCAGGATGAATTCTTGTAAGCAACATTGCTAGGTTAAAGGCTATTCTCATTTTTAAGGCTTACCATGTACACCATGTAACTGCCCTTTAGACAAGATGTGCCAATTTATATTCCCACCAATGGTACATGACAGTGCTCTCACCAATACTGAGTAGTATTGGTGTTTTTAATCTTTGCTAATTTGGTAGATACCATATACAGTGACATATAAAACAGGTAAGAGTTTAAGAGATATTTCAACTCTACAGGAACATGATTTGGAAAATTAAACAGGCACTTTTTCATACACATATATTTTAAATAATTTTAAAGTTTATTTGTATGGGCAAACATTTTATCATGTAAATATGGTACATGATATACAAGAATCTTGAAGAAAATCATCAGTTCTGGATATACAGCAATATTCTGCTAACCCTGGAAAAAGTAGCTAAAAAGAAATACAGTGGTATAAGTGCTCATGGCAGGTAATAAATCACAGAAATTTACTGGAAAATGATTAATGTGCCTAAATTCTACCCAGTACATACAACCAAAGCAAATACATAAAAATAAAACAACCGCCAAAATAGTATGTTTCTATACAGATAGCCATAGTACAAGTGGACAGTTATTTCAATAAGAACTGAGACAAAGCACATAACAAAATAAAACATCTGAAGGAAATTAAATATACTCATGCTTGTTTAAAGATAAATATTTTATTCAGTAGTAGTACCCAGCAATCAGCAGGAGAAAATGTCAGTGAATTCTAGCAGAAAAGGGTATGTCAACTAAACCCATGGCCATGTAGTGCACAGGAAAACCATAAGCAATAGTACAATAAGGTTTTAATCTTCATCTTCAAATCCACCCTTCCCTGATGCAATGGACTTAAACAACCACTCTTCCCCAAAGCCTGAAAACCAAATCATCGCCGATGAAAGCCAGTGGTTTCTTTTCTGCCCAGTCTCTTTCATGATGGGCTCTAACATTAACCTAGAACTGAACAGTGCTTTGGTGGCCTGCAAGTGTAGTCCATACTGCCTATGGAATACACCTGAACATGAAGAAAATGAAAATACAACTAGACTGATAAACAACATCATGATGAATGGAGAAAAAAATGAAGTTGTCAATGATTTATTCTCCTTGGGTCAACAATTAACAACCATGGAGGAGGCGGGGCCAAGATGGTGGAGTAGTCCGATGCTTCTGGTGGTCCCTCTTACAACAGAGACCTGAAAAAACAAGTGAATTGATTATATATGACAATCTAGGAGCCCCGAACATCAAAGGCAAAGTTCAGGAATTGGACTGAGTGGCAGGGGGAGGGTGAGACTGTTCAGAAGTAACGAGGAGTTGCCAGACTGGACCTAGAGGGAGCCAGAACTCATCAGCCCAGATCAGCTTGGGGGTGAGTGGTGAAGCACGCAAGCAGCAGTGCTTGGGAGGCGTTTTCCACACTGGGAGAGACCTGGTGGCACAGAGTCTACTCAGCCATCCAGAACCAGTGAGAAGCAGCCCTCGATCAGCAAAAGATAAGTATTTGCATCTCGCCTACAGCGTGGATCAAAAACACCCCTTTAGGGAAAAACCTCTCTCCCGTTTACCTCCCTGCTTTTTGCTCTGCACTGGGGTCAGGACGGCTTCAGGGATTGCTGAGTCCCCTGGGCCACAAGCAGGACTAGTCACGTGCCCTGAGCCATTCTCCTGGGCTTGGAAAGGGAACAAATTAACAAATGGGGAAAAAATAATCTGCAGCTGTTCTAAGCCAGGAACTCAGGGTAGGTACAGCTCCTTTGCCTAGGCACAGGCATAAGGGATCCACGGACTTTGAGTGCCTTTACCACTGCACAGACTTGTGTGGGCCCATCTCAACAGCGTAGGCTTTCATTACTGCAGTACAACAGGGTATATACCTGAAATCTAACTTCAGCTGTTTCAGCTGTGAAGTGGCAGTTTCATGACATTTGACACTGCTTTGCCCATTAAGCAGGGTCTTAACCTACCCATAGCAGAGGCCCAAGAATAAGAGATGCCCCCCGGTCCATACAGCCAACAGCGTTGGGTGCTCATAGTCCAGCTTCAAAACCCAGCTACCTACACACTCTAGGGAACAGGGACACGCTTTCCTCCTTGACACTCGGGGGCAGCCATCAGCCCCCTGCCTTGCTCAGCGTGTGTCTGCCTGCTGCAGCCGGATACCTGTGCCTACACCAATCACCCATGCCTCTCTAGGACTGTAGGTGAGAGCCTGCACCACACAGTTGGTGGCTGACTACCTGGACACCTGACCTGAATCCATACAGGAGGAGTGGGCAGACTCATGAGCTCACAAAAGTAGTGGCAGTTCTGGCCACCTAGTGGCAGGACATTGAGCTTCAGGGGCATTGGTGATTGGGCTAGCTCACATGAGCAGCCTATTTGGGCATATCAAAACAAAAGAAAACAAGAAGATAGGACACAGTAACAAGCATAAAATAAATAAATATAATAACTTATGATGGCTCGGAGACAACAGTCAATATGAAATCCCATAAAGTAGCAGACCATGATGGCTTCAGCAAGCTCCCAAAATAAAGAATATGGAAATTTTATGGAGGAAGAAAATTTCTTGGAGTTACCGGAGGCAGAAACAAAAGATTGATATACAGAATGCTTCAAGAAATCAGGAAGGAAATTGTGCAAAATGCAGAACACACACTAGAGGAACTTAAAAAGATTAGAGAAGAGCATAATGACAAATTTAACAGGCTGCAAGAATCCATAGATAAATAGCAATCAGAAATCCAGAAGATTAACAATAAAATTTCAGAATTAGACAACTCAACAGAAAGTCATAGGAGCAGAGCTGAGGCAGAAGAAGTCAGAATTAGTGAGATTGAACATAAAGAACTTGACACCAACTTATTTGAGAAAAAATCAGATAAAACAATTAAAAACAATAAAGAAATTCTAAGAGTTATGTGCGGCTCTATCAAGAGAAATAACCTACAAGTGACTGGAGTACCAGAACAGAGCATGGTCACAGAAAATACAGAGAGAATTGTTGAAGATTTGTTGAAAGAAAACTTCCCTAATATCATGAAAGATGAGAAGATATCTATCCAAGATGCTCATTGAAACCCACATAAGGTAGATCCCAAAAGAAAGTCACCAAGACATACTATAATCATACTTGCCAAAACCAAAGATAAAGAGAGAATTTTAAGAGTGGCTAGGGATAAAAGAAAAGTCATCTACAAAGGAGAGTCGATTAGAATAAGCTCAAACTACTCAGCAGAAACCATGCAGGCAAGAAGGCAATGGGATGACATATATAAAGCCTTGAAGGAAAAAAATTGCCAGTTAAGAATTATACATCCAGTAAAACTGTCTCTCAAATATGATGGCAAAATTTCGGCATTTTCAGATAAACAGAAGTTTAGGGAATTTGCAAAAACCAAACCAAA